TGATACGTATCATATTGTGAAGGCTGTATCGTGTTACGTATCATATCGTGAAGGCTGTATCGTGTTACGCATAGTATTGTGAAGGCTGTATCGTGTTACATATCGTATCGTGAAGGCTGTATCATCCCACGCTAACAAACCCATTTGAAAAGCGCCACCTACCTTGGACGTGCTGCGCGGCACCTCGCCGCCACCAGTACTGCCTCTTGTTTTCGCCTTCAACGCGGGCGCCACCGGCTTCTTCGCTGCCGGCTTTGCCGCCGCTGATCTGTTCCCAGGGGGCGCTGACAGTCTTGCCGCCGCCGCCGATCCGTTCGCAGGGGGCGCTGCCGGCTTTGTCGCTGCAGATCCGTTCGCAGGGGGCGCCACCATGGGCTCAGGGGTCGGCGCGTCGGCGACGTCGCCCGCCTCCGCGGCGCCGCTCGTCCGAGCCGCCATCTTCCCCGCCGTCGCCGCGGGTTTCAGCAGCGAGCGGAAATCCGTGCTGCCGCCATCTTCCTCCGCCTGCGCTGCTGTTCTCTTGTCTCCGTCTGGCTCGAACCTCGTCGCGCTCAGCAGCTTCGGAGAGCCGCTGGACGAGAGCTTGACCGGCGGTGGTGGCGGGCGGCGAGCGTCGGACGGCGGGCGGGCAGGGGGCGCCGGCGGCGGCGCGGCGTGGGAGCGGCGCTTCTCCTGAGCGACGCGCATCTCGGCGAGCAGTCCGGCACCAATCGGAGGTCCCCCTGCGTTCGGTGAACGTCGCACGCCCGCAGGAGCCGCGGAGGGGGCGCCACCGATGCCACCCGCCGCCGGTGAGAGGGCGCCACTGCTGCCGCCCGCCGCTGCTGGTGAGGGGGCGCCGCTGATGCTGTCCGCGGGAGACTCAGCATCGTCTGCAACACGGAGAGTCGCGTCACGTGGTGCGAAGAAACAATGTACGTCTGCCTCGATGTATTTATCACCTCCGCCAAGGAGGTTAAATGTTTTCGCCCCTGTTAGTTTGTTTGTTGGTTTGTTTGTTTGTCTGTCAACAGGATATCTCAAAAAAGTCACGGGCGGTTTTTGATGAAATTTTGTGGACGGGTTGGTCTTGGGCCAACAACCAATCGATTAGATTTTGGTGGTGATCCGGATCCGGATCTGGATCTAGGATTTTTTTGTGGGGAAAATCCTGGATCTTTTTTTTCAAATTTCTGAAAATGTCATCAAACTCTATATTGGGTGTACCAGCAAGATGAGGGGGGGGGACTGTTACGCTGTGGCGGAGGTTTGCTATCTCCGATTGCTCCTGTTGTACGTTGAGTTACCTTGCTTGCAGTTGTAGGGAAAAGAGGCGCGTGGAAGTGGTAGATATGTCAATCGGTGTTTGAGATAGCAGTCTGTCCTTCCCAGAGCAGGACTGGTAGCCTTTGAGCAAGACTGGCTCATTTTTATGGACTTTAAAACTTATTTTGTTAAAGGTTACATTGTCATTATGTCGAAGTTATCGAAATAAGGACTGCCTCAGAATTATTTCCAGACTGATTTTGAGGCTCCTGATAAAATAGCGTTTTCTCAAGAGTTAATTAAGTATAGGTTATTGCGTTTTTTATCTTATGGTAATGGTAACTGGTAATGCAAAAGCTTGAATAAACAGCTAATATAGTTTGGATCTCTAATCCACTGTTAGCTTTCTACTCTATTGAAGCATTATCACATAATGATATCAACAAACTGCTGCATAACAGTGCATCATACGAGAATCTAGCACACAACTGTGGCTTAGCATTAACTGCTAACATAAATAATATATGGCCAGTATGTGACAGAGTGTAAGCAACATAACCAAGGTTAAAAAAAAAACTCGATATGTCCCTGTAAACAATAGCAAAACACGCAAGTGCTCTTCATTCTGAAATACGATAAACTGCAAAAGCCTATTTGCCTGAGACGTTATTGAACGCTATAATGGTGCATCCTTGAACTTCATTAGTGCAACTACTATGCGAGTATGCGAGTTCATCCCGTATTGATATTGATATTGGTATTGATGTTGTGTGAAATAACATACACTGTAGCCTACACCCCCCCCCCTGCCACCTGATGTGATCAATACACAGTGTGTATTTTCCAGGAAATACATCAAGCGAGTGTAAGCGGTTTGTCTTTAGGCCTGCATGTCGGGTCCGACATGTCTTCAAATCTAAAGCTATTTTGCGTTATATCATATGCCCTCCGACATGCCTTAATATGCCTAATCGACATGACTTAATTTTCAGCTGTGTTTATATTATATTACATTATATATTATATTATATTAGCTTATGTTTATATTAACTTTTGACAACCCCAACACAGTCATGCTGCAACGTTCTTTCCAACAAATTACCCACCTTTTAAAAAAACACGATCAGTCTCCTATGCTATTTACGCCTATCTCCAATCTTCATATATATCATGTTCTTGTAGCTCAAATTTTAATCAGGCAAGGACACTTCAAGTGCAAGTTCTGTACAATTGCATGCCACCGGCCTTCAATACTCCCAGAATTTAGCAAAATTTCTCCCCCCTCCCCCTCTTTTCCAAGAGCAAATCCACCATTGACTGAAAACCCCTAATAGTGCAACACATCACACGTAGATGGCGCCACACTCACCCTGCAGCAGTTTCCTGTCCGGCACAGGCGGCGGTGACAGGTTGCGATCTATCACGGAGTACAGAGGCACCTGGTGGTCAACGGCGGGCGCCTCGACCACGCTCGCTGTCCGAGCATCCTCCTCCGCGTCAGCATCTGTTGCCACGGAGTTCCTACTGGTCAGCTTCCCAAACATGCTGGACATGAAAGACCTGCGATACAATGGCACGGACAATGATTTGCTGCTGACACTAACGATTATGTCACTGCTATAACTACTCATACGTCACGGCTGACAGTAGGGACCATTCTGTAGACCTGTCTATTGTCAGAAACACAATTAGTCTTAACATTAGTCTTAACGTTGACTTTTTCTCGTAGATCGTTGAGGACAACACGGGAATGTAACGAGTCTTATTGACGGCTCACTACAAACAAAAGAACGTCATCTGCTGAGTAACCCTCCATGGGGCCGCCATCTTTGATAAAGCCAGCGCACAGCGAGCGCTAGTGTGTCGTTCAAGAGGCGCTGCGTTCGTGCAGCGAGCGTTCGCATCGAGCGCACGCTCTGTTGAACACGCCTCGGGGTACACTGAAAGGTCACCTCTGGCTAGACTGGTTCGCGGCCGCACTGTTTGTCGCAGAGCGTGTACATTGTCTAGCAGAGCGTGAGGCCGGATACCAGTCTACCCTTCGGTAAAAACAATAAGGTGGTAATTGCTGCCAGGCGCAGTAGACAATCGATAAACCGAGCGCCTGTACAGTACATATGACCGTAATACGAATGCTGCACGTGAACTCGGGGAAAAACGGAAAACGCGGAAACAATTCTGGGATCCGGAAAAAAGCGGAAATCCGCGAAAACGTGGAAAATTTTCATGCCTGTACCGAGGACCTTTCTGGCAATGGGCCCCCTTGTAGATGTCTCAAATAACGTGAGAGATGTGAATAAACACAAAGTAATCGTACTGGCAAACATGCAACAAACAACAGAGCACAGACGCATGGGTCTGCACTGACGTAGATAACAAACAGCAGATCTGTAAACACCTGTAGGAAACCTACGTTCTCTCCTTTTTATCCTTCGAAGGCTTCGTCGCCGGGGTAACGGGACTTTGTGACTTATCCTTTGACTTCTTCAAACCTTCCTTCTCATCCTCCTTGTTCCGGGGGGAACTACGGAAAGAATATCACAATAAAATGCAATAAAAGAAAACAAATATTACGATTATAAGATTATAACTAAGAACCCTAACATTAAAGACATTCCTGTCATCCTGCATGATCAGAAGCTAAGGAAATGAATTGAATGGGTTAGGTAATCATAATAAGAGTATGGATAAGAAAGTGGATTCACTTTAAATCACATTAATTAGGGCATGCTATTCTGTATATCATAGTATCTTGATGATAATTCCCCCTGTCTAAACATATTTCTATTTTTAACATCGCTATTTCATTGACAGGCATGCAACGTTCTTAACAAATTGAAGTCAGAAGGGAACAGGATATCTCACCACTGTTTGCAGACATATTCAACAAAATGTCAGCATATCACGTTTTTACGCTTAGTCATGCAAGCCATCCCATAATATTAGTAACACTAGCTGTCACACAGATAACTTTAAAAGCCCACATGGTGCATGCTGACAGCAGGAAGCTGATGTGTGACATGTAATGATGTAACACGGCCAATTACTGAAGATTCCATTTTGCATTTCACAAACGTTTCGGGGATTCGTGCGGATTTGTTGTTTCTGTGATCTCTGATTTGACGTGGTATGAATGTTGAATAATTGGTATTAAAGAATGATATTAATCGATACCACTGACATGAATACATGTCTATTTGACATGAATGCACGTACAACTGATATAAATGCCTGTATCATTGCTACAGATGCACCTATTGTAAACACTAACCGGTATTGTAAACTATAACTACTATATTATAAATGCATGTATAATTACCACAGAATGTCTGATGCATGTATAAGTGGCATGAATTCATTTATAATTGCTATGAATGACAGATTGCTGTGAATGATGGTGTATTTGCTATTAGGGTTCATAGTAGTAAGGCACGTGTTGAAATAAGGACTTATAAGGCCCTTTCTGGAGGCCAAAATAAGACTTTTTTACGCGATTTCTGATAGATCACCGACTATTAAGGTACGCTAATAATATTTATATAAAGCCGTTTCGCCGAAATTCAACACAGAAAATGTTGAAAAATGGTCCTTTAGCAAAAAATAAGGACTATTAAGTCCTTTTCTAAGATTTCACCAAAAATAAGTACTAATAAGGGCCCTTATTTTATTTTTGGCAAAATAAGTACTTATAAGACTTTGGAAGACCCGCTAGGAACCCTGGCTATGAATGACGATGCAATCACTATGAATGACGGTATAATCACTGTGAATGATGGTATAATCACTGTGAATGATGGTATAATCACTGTGAATGATGGTATAATCGCTACAAATGACATTACAACTGCTACAAATGACAGCCTATTTGCTATGAATGACGGTGAAATCGTTACAAATGACGATGTTATCGCTACGAATGACGGTGTAATTGCCAGGGAAGCGTGCTCGACTCGAGTACGAACTTACACTGGAGGCGGGGACATGGGTGGCACCGCCGATGATGTCACGAGGGTCGCGACCCCGTCTGGAGACATCGGAATGTGAGCGCCGAAAAAGTCGTCTGCCGGCGCGTGTCCGTCGACAGGTGGCGCCGCCACGAGGACTTGGGAGGACGAGTGTTTCTTGAGTCGGCGCGGTCGGCTCTTTCCCAGATGATCGAGTCTAGGCTGCTCGGCGAGCTCCGGTAACGTGTCTGAAACAAGAGAGCATTCACTTGTTTTTGTAAAACTTTGACCTATTTCTTAATAGAAAACCCAATATAGAATGTCATCGACATGTTCTAAATTCATACAGAATTCACATAATAATAATAATAATAATAGTAATTTACATCAGTGCAGTATGCAGTGCATTTACATCAGTGCATTCCTGTACACATGCAGTATAAGAATATCATTGCTGCCTATATAAGGAGATCTAACAGTGAACAGAGCGATAGCTACAGCCTGTATAATTAACTCACCGGTGGCTTCATCCGTCTCCGGGGGCGACGGCGACAACAGTCCGTTAGCGACGGCCCTCGGGGTGTGACCGTCGCTGACGACCACGTCATCGACCGACCTGTCACAGTCGTCAAAGCTGTCACCTGCAGAACAATGACATCACTTCACATCGTTAGTGCGCGTGCGAGCAGGTATGTAATGAACAGAAGTGAAATTATTTACCGCGTGGCACACCCCTGAACTTATTTAGACGAATGATCTTAAAGCCTATGCGAAACCAAAAAAAAGGCGGTACAAAAACACAAATTTTTGATAAAATACTTAAGGAAAGCAATAATACAATAAAAAAAATAGTTTGGTGTATTTTACTGAAAAAAATATAGTCCATCTCGCATAGGCTTTAAAATATTAAGGATGTCTCAATGCTGTTGTAAATGTAGTTTTCTACTGAAGATTATCTCAAAAAAATATTATTACTGCAATAATATATATTGAAATATATTGGCTGAAATTTGTTTAAGCATACGTGTCAAGGTGCAAAGCTAGGCATGTATGCACAATTCACCCTGCCACATCTTCTTCTGTCTAAAGTACAAGGGCAATTTGAACTTGGTTTGAAATGTGCAGTTAGACTAGAGCAATCTTTGATTAAAAACAAAACCCATGAAATGAATGAAATGTTAAGAGCTTAACACCTACAGAAGGTCTATATATATATAATAATATAGTGATTATGGTAGATACTGCATTGCCACATCATCTGCTATCACCTGACGTACGAGCAAACATGAGAAACACCAGGATCTCACTCATCCCATCAAACACGAGCTATACCAACACTACAGCTAACACGCCCGCGCACGCGCACGCACAGCTAACACGCCGGCGCACGCACGCACCACAAGGCTACGCCACCCCCACTGACGCTTGCGGGGGGAACGCAGGCGATTGACAGACGCAAACGCATAAATTCTTTTCCAGACGAGAAAGAAAAACATGATTTTCCGACGGTCACGTCATACCACACACACACACCACACACACACAACCACACGCAACGCCCGACACATACACACAACACCACACCTACACACACACACAGCAACACACACACACACACAACCCCACATCGGTTCACACACAACCACAGCACACACCCCAACCCAACACGCACACACGCGAACACACGTCCACACGAAAGTGCACACACACACACGCACACGCACACCACATACAGCACATACACACACAACACCACAAACACGCACACGCACATGGCAACGCACACGCACACGCACGACGCACACAAAGCACAACACCCCACGCGCGCGCGCCGTAGCTTCCAGCAGAGCTATAAGGACATGAAAAATTTGCCGCCTGCCCTTTCTCTGGCAGCAAGAGATTAAAGTCAATTTCTAATCCTGGTACTGCTTGCACGTTCTTTGTGTTGAGTGTTGTTGTGGCTTGAGCGGAGGCGGATGCGCGTAGTGTGGCGGTCGCATGCGCGCGCGTGCGAGAGAGAGAGAGAGAGAGAGAGAGAGGGGGCGGAGAGAGGGAGGAGAGAGGGAGAGAGACAGAGAGAGAGCGAGAGCGAGAGAGAGAGAGAGAGAGAGAGAGAGAGAAAGAGAGAGAGAGAGAACTAATTCGCGATGCATTCCTCTGTATCAAACCGACGTTTTCTTTCTCTCCAGAGCTGGCAGTCCAGAGTACACGGTCATCGGTGCAGAGTTCAGTGCCGACGGTGAGTAAGCATGAGAGAATGTTATTAGCTGTGTATTAGCTGTGTTAGAATGTTATTAGCTGTGTATTCGCTGTGTTAGAATGTTATTAGTTGTGTATTAGCTGTGAGAGAATGTTATTAGCTGTGTATTAGCTGTGTTAGAAATGTTATAGCTGGTATTCGCTGTGTTAGAAGGGTGTATCTTGTGTGATTCGCTGTAGAGAATGCATTTTAGCTGTATATATTCGCTGGGAGGAAATTGATTAGCTGTGTATTCGCTGTGAGAGGAATTGTTCTTAGCTGTGTATTATAGCTGTGTTAGAGTTATTAGCTGTGTATTCGCCCTGTGTTAGAATGTTATTAGCTGTGTATTAGCTGTGTTAGAATGTTATTAGCTGTGTATTAGCTGTGTTAGAATGTTATTAGCTGTGTATTCGCTGTGAGAGAATGTTATTCCCCCTTCACGCTCGTCGCCGGCCATGACGTGACGCGACGCGACGTGACATTACGTGACGTTGACGTCGACGCTGACGTGATCGTGATCGTGGACGCGACGTGGACGTGACGACGATGACGTGACGTGACGACGTCACGCGACGGTCACGCGACGTTGACGCGACGTGACGATGACATTGACGTGACGTGAACGTCGCGACGTGACGTGACGTGACGTGACTCGACGTGACGCGACGCGACGTGATGTGACATTGACGTGACGTAACGCGACGCGACGCGACGCGACGCGACGTGACGTGACGTGACGTGGACGCGACATTTTATGTTTTTTTAACCGTGACGTGACACGACGTGACATTACGTGACGTGACGTGACATGACGTGACGTGACGTAACGCGACGCGACGCGACGTGACGTGACGTGACGTGACGTGATATTGACGTGACGTGACACGACGTGACGTGACGTGACGTGACGCGATGTGACATTGACGTAACATGACGTGACGTGACGTGACGTGACGTGACGTGATATTGACGTGACGTGACACGACGTGACGTGACGTGACGTGACGCGACATTGACGTGACGTGACACGACGTGACATTACGTGACGGTGACGTGACATGACGCGTGACGTGACTAACGCGGACGGCGAGACGCGACGTGGACGCTGACGGTGCGTGACGTGAATTGACACGTGGGTGACGTGACATCGACGTGAACGTGACTGACGTGACGCGATGTGACATTGACGTAACATGACGTGACGTGACGTGACGCTATGTGACATTGACGTAACATGACGTGACGTGACGTGACACGATGTGACATTGACGTAACATGACGTGACGTGACGTGGCGTAACATGACGTGAAGTGACGTGACGTGACGTGACGTAACGCGACGCGACGCGACGTGACGTCGGACGGTGACGCGACATTGACGTGACGTGACGTAACGCGACGCTGGGACGCCAATGTGACGTGATGGCTGACATATGAGTGACGTGACGTAACGCAGACGCCGACGCGAGCGTGTACGGTGATGTTGACATGGAGTGACGTGACGTAACGTCGACCGACGTGAGCGTGAGTGATGTGACCTTGACGTGACGTTGAACGTAACGCGGAGGCGACGTGACGTGATGTGATGCTGAATTGACTGCGTTGACGTAACGCGACGCGACGCGACGTGCCGTGATGTGACATTGATCGTGCGTGGACGCCGACCGACGCCGACGGTGACGTGATGTGACATTGACGTGACGTGACGTAACGCGACGCGACGCGACGTGACGTGATGTGACATTGACGTGACGTGACGTGACGCGAACGCGGACGCGACGCTGGGGGGGCCGGGTGATGTGACATGTCGACCGTGACGTGACGTAAACGCGACCGACGGGATCGCGACGTGATGTGACATTGACGTGACGTGACGTAACGGCGACGCGACGCGGACGTGACGTGATGTGACATTGACGTGACGTGACGTAACGCGACGCGGACGACGCGCGACGTGAAGTGATGGACATGACGTGACGTACGTGACGTGATGTGACATTGCACGTGATGCGTAACGTAACGTCACACCGATGTGACATTGACGTAACAC